CCCGGGCCTGTGGCCCGGGCGCCCCCCAGCACCGCGCGGGCCCCCCGGGCCCCCCCCGCACCGGCCGCTGCTGGGCCAGTCTCAGGCCACCAGGGACCCGCCCTCTCAGCAGCAGTTTAGGTGTGGGAGGGAGCTCAGGGCTGGGGCAGAGGGTTATGGTGTGGGGCAGCACTTACCTCAGGGGGGCTTCCTGGAAGCGGCAGGCATGTCCCTACAGCTCCTAAGTGGAGGGGCCAGGGAGCTATGCAACCTGCCCCTGCCTACAGCCACCACCCCAGCAGTCAACGTGAGCTGCGGAGCTGGCGCTCGTGGCAGGGGGCAGCACATCAAGCCCCCACACACACATACACGGCCTTCCCTCCCCCTAGGAGCTGCAGAGAAATGCCGGCTGCTTCCAGGGAGCTATGTGGAGCCAGGTAGGGAGCTTGCCAGCCCCACCAATCCTCCTCTCTCTCCCAGCACCAGCAGGGGTCCCAGACCACCATCCCAGCCCACCACCTCAGGGCCCAAGTTTCAGTTAGGGCTAAATAGTACAAGTCATGGACAGGTCACGGGTTGTGAATTTTTGTTTTCTGCCTGTGACTTGTCCATGACTTTTACTAAAAATACCCATGACTAAAATTTAGCCTTACACATGGATAGAAATCCACTGTAAGTCTAAACTCCTGCTATAGGGTATAGCAGGTGTTGGCTTTTCGTAAATAACTAGGTTTTAGGGAGACCTTTTTCCCTTCCAGGATTATCTACTGAAAAGGGGTAGAGAAAAATAGTCAAAACTCCTGTTAGGCCTTCAAGGCAGGGGTGGCCAACCTGTGGCTCCGGAGCCACATGCAGCTCCTTGTATAGGGACTGACTCTGGGGCTGGAGCTACAGGCGCCAACTTTCCAGTGTGCCAGGAGGTGCTCACTGCTCAACCCCTGGCTCTGCCACAGTCCCTGCCCCCATTCCTCTGAGCCTGTTATTCCCTCCCACCACCACCCCCCCTCCCCAAGCCTCCTGCACATCACAAA